AAAAGCCTTTGATAAAGTTTCTCATACTATTTTATTAAAAAAACTCACAAATATAGGTATAGGTAATCCACTACTATTTTGGATTGAAAATTTCTTAAGATATCGTACCTACTCTGTCAAAATAAATAATGCTTTTTCTGAAAATCATACAAGTAATATGGGTGTCCCTCAAGGTTCTGTCCTTGGCCCTATTTTGTTTATTTTCTTCATCCATGATTTAGTCAAATTCTGCGCCACACATGATATAATTTTCAAATTTTTTGCTGATGATTTTAAGGCATATTTAATCCATTCCAATTGTAACAAACGTTTTCTTCTACAAAATTGTATTTCAAAAATTGAAATATGGTCAGCTGAAAACGAGTTAGAAATTTCAGCAAAAAAATGCAATGTCCTTTATTTGGGCAAAAATAACTCTAAATTTCCTTACTATATTTCCAATAACAAGATTACTCCAATAATTTCCTTTGTTCGCGATTTAGGAATTTTAACCTCATCTTCATTAAAATGGACTATTCATATTGATTATATTAAAAAAAGAGCTTACACTCGACTTTTCACACTTTTCAAAGCAATTAAATCGAATGATCCTAATTTTTTAACAAAAGCATATACTTCTTATGTACGACCAATTATAGAATCATTTTCTCAATTATTTAACCCTTACCTCAAATCAGAAATAAAAAAACTTGAAGACGTACAAAAAATGGCGGTTAAAATTATATATTTCCGCGGACTTCAGAATCTCTATCCAACTAAACCTTCATATGAAGATCTCCTTATGATTTTAAATCTTAAATCCATTAAAGATAGATTTTTAATTAATGATATTATGTGTTATCACAAAATAATTCACGGATACATAAGCATAGGTAAATCTCATTATCCCAAATTAACTAAGTCAAATACCAGAAATCAAATAAAAATTAATTCTTCACATTCAAACTTAAATTTAAGGCACCATTTTTTCTTTGAAAAAATGGCTAGAATATATCCAAAACTTCCTAATGAACTTTTTAAGCATCAAAAAATACAAAATTTTCGTACTTGTCTAAATAAAATCGATCTTTCCTCAATCAAAATTTAAATTAAATTAAGTCAATTTAACATAATTTAATTAAAAAAATAATTATCACTTTTCAATTTAGAGATCAGCTTCTAATTTTATTTTGTTTTGTTCTAGCAAAATGAACTGACAGAGATAAAAAGAAGTTTAGAAAAATTTTCAAAAAAAAAAATTTTTTTTAGAAGTTCAGAAAATTTTTTCAAAAAATACATAAATTTTATTTGAAATTTTTCCCTTTTAAATTAGTTGTTGAGGAAAAGAATCGTTTTAAAAAAAAAGAGACTTCAGTAATTTGGATTAAAACTTACAAAATAAATTAATTTAATACTATTATCTACTTGGAAAAAAATTTCTATTTCATAACAATATATATTAAGCACACAAAATACCTGCCGAATACCCATTTTGCCCCTCAATGTGCCTAACAATCGTCTTGCACTTTATCGATTGGGCCACGGGGATTACAGCAATGTAATCTTGTCTGCTTTGGCATCTAGCTAACGCTTGTGAGCGCCAGTTCATCTGGTAGCTCGGCAAGAAGAGGCACGCACATCAGCCAACGCTGATGAGCGCCAGTTCATCTGGTAGCTCGGTCAGAATAGGCTTCCTTAACACTAATTCGGTAAGGGTTTTGCTGCTTAACTTGACATTGTATTCAAAAAAAAAAACAAGAAGTATTAAATTAAATGTCTAGAAATTATTTACATATACTAATCACTGAAGTCTTTGAAAATAAATTTAAAAAAAAACTCAGCATTTCTAATTTTTCCAAATTTCGTTCTAATAATACTCCCACCTAACCTATAATTTCCAATAATGACACTGTATTTTATTGAATTTAATTTGTTGTTTTTTAATTGTGGACGCGTATTAATTTACGTATTAAATAAATAAATAAATAAATAAATAAAATATATTGATGAAAGTTAAATGCTTTTTTAAAATATTTTCTTTTATTGTTCGATACCAGTGTTTGGTATTGGATATTTTGTGTCTATGACTCTCCAAACTGTTTTAAACCATGGCTCCTCCTGAGCCGGCCGGTCAATGTTGGCTCCGGGCTTCGGGTGGCAAATCAAAGAATAATATTTATTTCATAGACGGATTTTGAAGATTAAAAAGAGATAGGGATTTTGATTGAGCTTAATTCTGAGAAGAAATTAAAAAAAAATTTTCTTGACATTTTTAATTGTTTAAATAAATTTAAAAATTGGTGACATGTAAAATGGGACTTTTCTATTAAAGAATAAAAGGACTAAATTTAGACAAAAAAATAAATATTATTTAAGCAATTGAGTTAAATAAAATAGTGAATTGAATGTGAATAAAAAGAATTGAAGAGTGTTTGTAGGTAGGTGGTGGGTGTTTGGACGGAAATATAAAAATGACAAGTATATCAGAGAAAATAAGGGGGAGGAATATTTGTATGGGAGTAAAATTCTACAAAATGATAGTCGTGGGAATTAAATAGTGGGCCGGAAAAAAAAACAATTTGAAAAAACTGTCAATATAAAAGAAAAATGAGAAAATTCTTTATTTTTTAAAGATTTTCCGGAAATTTTTCCGGAAGCATTTCCTTTGTTTAGTTGAAAACATGTTATTTTCTTTTAAATTTTTAATGTAAAGGGAAAGAATTTCTTTAAAAATTCATTCCTGTCCTTTAAAGTATTTATTTTCACACAATTTTTATTCAAAATTTTCCCCAACCTCCCCCATTAATCGAATATTTATAATTTAATATTGTGTAAAAACCTGAAAGTTTAAAACAATTGAAAAAAGAATAAAAAATAAGAATAATGATGGAATAATGTATGCAAATTATTTTAGTTAAATTTTTTCGTAAAGTAAATAATTTTTATTTGAGAAAAAATTATATGTACATATTAAACAAAATTATTCAGTAAAAGTTATAAAATTAGCCCTAAGATTTATCCATAATAAAAATAATATTTGTGAATAACTCACTTTAATTTAAACAATAAAAGATTTTGGGAATTTTTATATTCCTAATTCAAACAATTAACTAAAATTAAAGTTTAGGACCATCGTCTATTTGATAATATGTAAATAACATAAAATAAATAAAATTTTCAGGAATTCTTTTATAAATTTAATTATTTTTAAATAAAATTTATTAAATTAATATAAAGCTAAATAAATATTTCTCTCATTCCCATAAAAATTATATACAAAAATTTAAATTAAAAACGGTGACGCATTTTAATTGGCACTTAAAAGATAAATATAAAAATATTACTAATATATTTAAATAATTGGGAAAATAAATATACCCAATTAAATTACATCATTTTAAATAAAAATTAATATATAAAAAGAATTAGTAAATTTTAAAAGACTATTTTTAATAATTTTTAAAAATTAAAAATATAAAACAAAATAAAAATGAAATGTTTAAAAATTCCCCTTAAAAGATTAAAGATGAAAATAATATTATTTTAAAAAATATATGTGTAAACTGTTCTCTACAACCAAAAAAGATTAAAAATAAACAATAAAAATATTTTTGGGAATTAAAAAATTTTTGTTTAGTAAAAATAAATTTTTATGCTCTTATTTTTTGGTATTATCTGTTGTGTCCGGACTTTCAGAAAGAACATAAATTAAAATAAATAACCCATCATCGAGTTGGCACAGTCGGTTGTGCTTAGGCCCCTTCCATGATGGTTCTATTTGAATTGTTCCACAGCATGAACACATACAGTAAATGCTGAAATAATTATTGTTTCAATCTCTCGTTTGAGAGGGTAATTATTAGAGAGAATGTTCTGGATTTAGAGTATATCTCAATTCAATTGAGGCGAAATTGATTTATTTCTTGATATTGAGTCTTAAAATGCTCCAATAATTAAATTTGATAATAATTCTTTAAATATTCTTAGAGGTTGAGTAAAATAACTAAAAGGTAATTATTAGAGAGGGTAATTATTTCAGCATTAACAAAACAAATTCTATAAACACTTAATTCCCCCCTTTAATTCCCAACCAAAAATTTAACTAAGGATATATTGTATATGGAATTATAAGGGAAAATTTTTTGCACAATTTCTTGGCCAAATATCGATATAATTTAATTGAAATTCTCATGCCTTTTCTGCTATTTTACATAATTTTTTCTGTGGCGCTAAGAAAGTGCATTTATGGCTTCTAAGTAACTACGTGCATTTATGGCTACAATTTAAAATTTAATTTAAAATAAATAATTTAAAATTTTGCTAAGCAAGCAAGTAAATTAAAAAGGCAAGTAAAATTAAAATATTGTTGAGTTAAATTTAAAATCTGTAAAAATAAATAAACGAAGGTTTATCAAATTTTTTTATTTTTTTATTGTTGGAACCGCTCAGAATTTGTGTCCACAACTCTCTCTCTCATGCCCTTATCCCCACCAGAAATTCAAAAATAAGGATAGTCAACTTTAAAATATGTAAAAACCGCGAGTTTCCATACCTGTTGGTATTGAATTTAAATAAATGAAAACAGAAAAATCTAGGTAGGGTAAATAAGGTAATATTAACGGTAATTAGGAAAAAATAAACAAGAGGAGAAAATAATTAATAGAGTAAATATTTTTTAAAGTTTATAATAATATAAACAAATTAATTATTTAGTTTTATTTCAAAAGATGATTTAATTTTTAAGGTAAACAAAATTAAAAACACGTGAAAATTAACAAAAATATTTTCTTGTTTTGAGTTAATTTATATTTTTTAATATAAAGCGGAAATGTGGAAAAGGAAAGTAAATAATTTAAGAAATAAATTGCCAAGAAAATAGTTTAAAAGAAAAATAGACGTAAATTTTGGAAATTGAGAAAAAAATTTTGGAGATGGAAAATAAAATATTTAAAAAAATCTTTTAAAAATAAAAACAAAGAATATTATTAATTTAAATTAAAAATTCAAAACATTTCCCCTACCTAAACGTATTGGGTCTGTATATGGAGAATCAGACCAAAGATTTTGTGAAGTAAATAAACGCAATTTTAGTCGATAAACAGAGCCAGGCTAGAAATTATTTTAAAAATTATTTTTTAAATTAATTCAAAACACGCAAAGATATAAAAATTTTAAATAAATAAATATACTGAATTAGCTAGATTTTAAATTAAAAATAATTTAAAAAATGTCGACAAAAAATCGTGAAATTTTGCTTAAATAAAAAAGAGGTACTATTTAATTTTTAAAAATAAATTTGAAATTTTTTTGGTTGAAAAATGGAAATTGAAAAAATATTTTCTCTCTTTTACCTTCAACGGCCCATTACAAATTTGTTCTGCTACTTTCTCTTCGCATTCAAAGTCAGAGCCAATTGACGTAATAAAAATTGAATTAATAATTGAAGTATCTGGTGAGGTATTAATAGAAGATGGAGAAGAAAATCGACGATTTTTATTATCTGGTAATAATTCTAATGCAATAAATGGCGGCCAAATATTCGTTGTTGAATGACGACGAACCATTCCCCATGTTGGCAACTAATTTAACAAATTTAAATTTATTAAAAATCTGTTCCATAATTCTAGTTTGAGTTTAAATTTTTGTTTAATTTTTGAATTGGTTTTTTTGTTTAATTTAAATTTAAATAATGTTTTTTTTTTAATTTTGTGAATTATGTCTCAATTAATATTTTAAATATTTTCCTTTAATTATCTATAGTTTAGTTGCTTATACATAGCTACATATTTATTAGTTTTGTTGCAATCTAACTTTATTTTGTAAAACAAGTTTAAACTAGAGTTGGCCAGGATCGGGATTTTGGAATAATGATCCCGATCCCGCCTGCGGGATCCGGATTTGGAATAGAGATCAACAACACTCTTTATGGCAGCAGAAGCTGGGTCCAAAGCTAGATTCAAGCTAGATTCTAGCAATATAAAAGTACTGTAAAATTATTTTCTCTACCATAATTTCTACTTCTCACTGTCGACTTTACACCAATAAAACAATCAACAACGTTCTCAAAAAATGGAAGACGATAACGCAGATACAGCTGTGGATCCAGGAGCTTCTGCTGCCGCAAAGAGTGTTGTTACGAGTTTCAACAATGGGGACAGCTTCAAGGAGCCAACTTTCATCTTGGACAAGTTTCTGAATAAGCATTTGCGCTACACAAGGAAAAGGGTGGGTAATTTTGGAGAAAGAATTTAGGCCTCCTTTCACTCATTTTTATTAGATTGTCTACCACCCAAGTGAGATAACAACACTTTGTCTGACTGCTGAGAATTCAATCAAGAAACATTACAAGGATGATAGCTGCATTATAAAAATTCGACATTTGCCCCTCTACATCGTTGGGGACCTTCACGGGGATTGGCGACAACTTTTGCGAATTTTCAATGCTTGCGGAGCGCCTGGTGAAAAGGCCTATTTGTTCTTAGGAGGTGAGAGGAGAGATTTTGCGAAGTTTAAGAGAGAGAATTCTTATCAATTTTCAGACTATGTCGATCGCGGTAATCGTTCGGTTGAGGTTGCTTGCTTGTTGATTTGCCTGAAAATCAAATTCCCACATAAGGTGAAAGTATTTTCCTTCTCTCTAAACATTTTAATTTTTTTTCAGATTTATCTACTTCGCGGCAATCACGAAACTGGTCAGTCATTAAAAGCTGAACACCCAAAAATTTGGTCGAATAATTTTCTTTTCTTTTAGATCAATGCAATTCAGTGTATGGATTCTACGAAGAGATACAATCCAGATTCAATCATGGGGATAGCATTGCTGTATACAAAGCTTTCAATAAAGTGTTTAGATGCTTTCCTCTAGTTGCGCTAGTTGCTGGTGAGATAATTTTGTTTTTTAGAGGGATTCCCATCAAGTTATGAAAGGCAAGAATCGGATCATATATCTCCTGTTAGTTCCAGGAGTTCCGCTTGCACCATATTCAACTGCTTTATCGAATGGGCTCCTGGGACTGACTGGCTTCCTTACTTAAGGGTCTTATTGTTAGACCTTTTTTTCTTAAGTATTTTAAGGATCTAACTAAGCCTTTAATTAAATTTTTTCAAGATCACATTCTTTGCATGCACGGAGGAATTTCGCCAAAATTAAATAAACTTAGCGATCTTGCAAAGGTTTTTCTATTAAATTTTTAATTAACAATCTTTTTGACTTCTTTAAAGATTAAAATTCCTTTGGATATAACAACTGAAGATTCTTTGCAATTAGATTTGCTTTGGGCCGATCCTAGTGTAGGGAGTTTTTCTTTCTTAATCTAAAAATAATTTTTGTTTTCTAAGGGTGATGTTCAAACGTTTGAGAAGAACGTTCCAAGAGGATGCTCCAAACTTTTTAGTGTTCAGGATGTATATGCGACATGTGAAAGACTCAACCTTAAACTCATTGTGCGTGCACATCAGCCATTCAATCGTGGATTTGGATTCTTTGCTGGAAAGAGATTGCTTACTCTGTTCGGGGCTGTGGACCATGCAGCGAAGGTTTTGTGTTTTGACCCTTTCCTTCAAAATTAAATCTTTTTAGGGTAGTTATGCCGGTGTTCTGCATTTGCAATTGGAAAAGGCTGTGGACAAAAAAGGCAAATCAACTGGAAAACTTGAAATTCAAGCTGGTATAATTCTCTTCCGCCCGACAACCAAAGAAACTAAAGGAAAACACAAATTCCTCATAGAGTTTGAAGAGTTGGGAACGGCAGATGTGGACACAGAAGATGAGACCACTCAACTTGAACGGATGGGAAAGGTATGAAAATATTTTTGATTTAAATTGAAATAAGGCTGGATCCCTACCCGGGTTAACCTAACCTTTTTCTGGCTAACATCCTCGATATCAAAAGTCTCAACTCCGAAGGGTCTATGTCCAACTCTAAATTACTACATATATTTTTTCCATTTTACAGATGCCAACGGAAGAAGAAATAAGGGAGGCGATGAAGGATTGAAATTGAGTATGAACGGCATAAATATAGTAGTAGAAAAATGTTGTATAAAACAACTATATATATGTTTCTGTGTTGTATATTGCAAATACTTTTCGGGTAAAATATTGTTCCTCATTCGAAAGTCCTCAATAACAAATTGTAAATTCACTAACCAGGGGTGGGACTAGAGTGGGCCTTTGAGGGTAACCACAAAGGCCCAGGGGTAGGCCTTTGAGATTAATTCTCCGATACCCATAAAATCCCTTTTCTTTTTTAAGCGCAGCAGGCGAAAATTTAGAAAAATTTGAGTTGCAAGAGACTTCACCCTTATCAATTTTCCTTTTCTTTTCTCTTACACTTCCCTTTCGCTCACTTGTTATTTTGTTTCATTAATATTCTCACTAATTTATAAAATTCCGATTTCATCGGGATCCAATTGCTAATCCCGATCCCGGCTCGGGATCATTAAAAAATGGGATCGTGATTCAAAAACCGGGATAATCTCGCCCGATCCCGACCGGGAACCTGATCCCGGCCAACTCTAGTTTAAACTATGTAGAACAAAGACGAGATCTCGAACAAAAATTCAGGTTATTTTTTGAAATATGGATCACGATTCTTGTACGTCCCCCTCAATTTTCTCGATTCTTTAATTAAGATTTAGACTTACAGTTCCATTATTTTCATTTAATAACAACCAATTATCAAATCTTTTTTGTTTATTTTTAGTATTATTTTCTTCTTCTTCCTTTTCCTCTTCTTTAATATCTACTTCAGCTACCAAAATGGCTAATTTAATTATTTTTCCATTTCTATCACTAATTTTGCTTAAATCAATTCGAGCAGATAATTCTGTTGATTTAATCGAATCTGTGACTATTTGTATTGAATTACGGTCGGGAGGCGGTGGAGCTAATAAATTTATATTTATAAATTTATTTTAAAAGAGGGAAGAATTAAAAGCTTAATGGATGTGTTTTTCAGGTTGTATGGGGACCGATTTAATAAGATAATACAAATTGAAAAATATAATGAAAAAATTGACTAGCTCATTACTGTAAAGCATATAGCTATTTAATTCTTAGGGCTGTGCAATAGGCGGCGTGGTGTAACACATCAATCCGGTCTACTGAAGATGTTGGGTTGCTCCCAGCCGCCTAATAACCTTTTGCACTAGATGAAGCTCCAATTCTCAAAACAAAGAATTTATCTAGATCTTACCTAAACTAACTTATTCGCTCGGAAATTCCTGATGTTTTTTGGGTCAGGAATTCCAATTCTCAAAATAGAGAATTTATCTAGATCTCTGGTAGGTACAAATTCAAAATAAAAAATTTGAAACTTTTCCGATAACAAAAAAATATTAATAAAAAAATAATAAATTATTTAATATCTTGTATTTATTTTCAAAAATTTAACAAATTCCCACCCTTAAAAATAAAATTTAAATTTACCAGAAATAGGTTGATGTACACTAAATTGTTCACTTCCCCTTCCCTGCCCAGCTTCATTTACAGCCCAAACTTGAAGTAAATATTTATGTCCCCCCTTCAATCTATCCAAAATTTTTTCAATAAATTCTTTTTGTTTAAATTCTTCATTTAATTTTTTATTATTTTTATTTTGTTCTTGAACAATAACTTTTTCTGTCCAAGGCTTAATATTATCAAATTCGTTAAGTAAATCGTTGTTATCGTTTTCTAATTGAGGTTCAATCTAAAATAATAATTTAATTTAAAAAAAAATAATTTTTTGAAATAATTCTCTCCCCGTTCTTAGCAACTATATTAGAAGAAATTTTAATTTATTCACTTAATAAATTGTTCGGATCGAATATTAGTGGAATTTTATTCTTAATTTTATTTACCTGAATAATATAATGACTAATTAGTCCATTCGGTTCTGAAGGTATTTGCCATTTCAATTGAGCAGAATAACTAAAAATAATTTACATTCAAAAAATATTTTTAAAATTAATTTACGAATTTAATGGGCGAACAGTAAAATTTAACTAAAATAAAAAATATTTAAATTTAAAAAACAAAAATAAATTAAAATTACAATAGGTCCGGGCTGGGCAGATTCTGTACGAAATTCTACTTGAGTTAATCTGAACATTTTTGGTGTACATGGAGAAGAATGACGATTTTGGGCCCCACAAATTACCTAAAAATATTTTTAATAATTAATTTTTGTATTTAGAATTATTAGAAATTACTTAAAATAATTAAAATATAAATAGTAGCTTTAAAAGGCCGCTTATTTTTTGAAAGTAAAATGAAAAATGGCTCTTAAAATAATACTATTATTTCATTAAAATTTTAAATCCAAAAATTAAAATACAAAATTAAAATGGTTGATTCATTTAGAGTTGCCAAAATGGACCGATTCGGACCGAAAGTCAGGCATAAGATACCTGGCCCGAAAAAGACTCGTACGACCTGACTCGAAAAAATGACACGACCTAGATTTATTTTAGTGGTTTTAAGGCATGGAAATCTCTCATACATAATTTACAAATATAGTAACTAAATAATTCCCCCCCCCTAACCTCTCCATTTACAACATATTTTCGCCAAGGTTTAAGATTATCCAAAGAAAGAGAAGGTAATTGAGAAGAAGTAGATAATTCTTGTAAATTTTGTTCATTAGAAGATAATGTCAAAATACGTTCAACAATAAGTTGAGAAGTTAAGGAGTCGACAACTTGTATTTGAAGTTGGCATTGAGGGGAAATTTTTAGTTTTTCTTTTTTGGAGGTTCTAATGTTGTTTTGATTATCTATTTAATTAATTAAATATTATTTGCTAGATTATCTGTTTAGGTTTGTTTTTTGTTTAGGTCTACGTTTAGGAATTCCATGAGTTTATAAGGAGGAAAGAAAATTTTGCTGTAAACTTTCAAATAATCCGAATTCCTCCCCTTATATTTAAATTAATTACCATTAGCAAATAATGTAGAAGTTCCAGAAACATAGAAAGTTTGGATTGTTGCAGCTCTAGAACTAAGATGCCCAACGGCTAAATCTAATTGAGGAGCATTTTTTCGAATAAATTGTTCGAAACGACGTTCAGAAACTAAAAAAACATTAAAAATATTTAATATTTTGAATATTTCTCCACCTATTCCAGATGATGTAACGGTGTACAAAAGTACCTAAAATTATTTAAGATTAATTTAACAACAAATCTCCTCACTTTGTAACATTCCCCTTCATGTAAACCATCAATAACTAATGGAGATGGCTCTGTTGGCCCCGTTTCGCGTTGAATAGTTGGGCCGGGATTGTCAAAAGGTTGAATAGAAAAATGTAAATGAGAGTCACGTCCTCTAGAAAAAGTAATTTTTAAAAATTAATTAGTCTATCAACTAACACAATACGAGCCCAAAGGTCAGCAATCCTCAAACGGGCTACTTCACTTTGTGGCCATTCAAGAACTAAAGAATTGCTGACATTATTTGGTGTTTCCTTAAAAATAAATTTAATTTTCTTCCACAAATTCATTGGGTATACTCTCAAATTCAATCCAAAAGAAGCAAAATCAAAGCCTGGTTCAACAGCTCTATTTCTCAACATTCTAGTACTAAAAGCAGAAGATCCACTTAAAGCCGTTGCAGCGAATTCATATCTTCTACCGGGTAATAAATCGAAATAAACCTTTAAAAAGAAAATATTTTTTCTGATTAAAAAATAATTAATTACTTCACAAATCTGTCCGTTTTTAGCTGGAACAATAGCCTGTTCACTTCTTCCATTCTGATCCTCAGATTGAACAGAAATTTGACATTTTCTATAAAATATATAAAATTATTATTTAAAAATAAATAAGACAGACTCTGTATGTGATTCATTCTCTGGAGCAAGACTAACTCTGACACGGAAACGTGAACTTAAATTAATTGAAAATATTCCAAAAAAATTATTTATTTTTCCACCTTTCAAAGTCGGGCTCTACAACCAAATCTTTTGGAGCCAAAGGTTTAATTGTATGTGAGGTAGTTGAAGGTTCAGATATTTGCCTTGATTTTTCTGCTATAACAGCAAAAATGAAAGCTCTGCCAGGTAAAATTTGTTGGCAAAGGGGTATTTGTTGTTTGGGGTATAAAACTTCTAACTGAAAATATTAAATATGTATCTATAAAATAAAAGAGATAAAGATTTTTAAATAGAGAATGATGGCTAAATTAATAATTAATATTTTCGAGTCTAAAAGACATAAATTAATTTATTCTCAAAATTACCTTTAACATAGCTTGTGCACCATGTAACAGTCCATAAGCTATTTTAAACCGATCAGCCCCCGATTCAATAGGTAATTGCCATTGAAGAAGAACACAAGAAGAATTAATTTCAATAACATTAAGATTTTCGGGTTTTAGAGGACCTTAAAAATTCAGGTTTTAAAGAGCCTCATCTATTTATTTACGTGTTGTAACAATTCCTTTCCAAGGCACACTTGGCAGTTCCTCCCTCAAAGAAGTTACAGAAATTTCGTAATCTCTTCCAGGGGATAAATTTCCAATATAAAGTTCTACTTCACGTTGTTCTTGTAGATCGTGAATGTCAAGTATAGGAAAACGTTTGAGAGGGTCTAATTGGTGATATTCAATTCTGAATGTGTCCTAAACGAGTAAAGAGAGGGAGGAGTTTTAGATTTAAATATATAAAAATGCCTGTAAAGCTCTTTCGGGTTTATGTGCTCTTAATGTAATATTGTGTTGTGTTACAAGAATGGATGTTGAATTACTAGGAACGCCAAAATCCAAAGGAACAGGATCCATCAAAATCTTTAGAAAAGAAAAATAATTTTAGGATATTATTTTGGACTTAATTAAATTTACGAAATATTCTCAAAAAAATAAAATTTTACATCTTCTTCCCGAATTAATAAACTTTCAGCTTCTCTTCTCCCAAGAATTGCAACTTTATATTTATGGCCAGCATTGAGGCCGTGAACATTAATAACTGATGAATCGGTAACAGATGCAAGAAATGTTCTATTGACATCCCAACTTCGAGGATCGCTAAAAAATACATTGAAAAATAATTTTTACAATTAGTCTTTCTTTCTTTCTCAAAAATATTTTTTCAACTTTTGTAAAAACCATTAATTTTCAATGAAATAATAAATTAAATTTCTCATTATTTTTCTACAATTTCCTAAAATTTCACAAAACTTACTCAACAACAGATACATCTGTTACTCTGGCAATAAATTGGTGAAATCTATTTGGGCGATTATTTATTTGAGAAGTTGGTGGAAGAAAGACATTAAGAAGGCGTGATGGATCCTTAAAAAATGTTTTTTAAATTAAAGATTAAATAAAAAATATTTTCTTTTCACAAAATTTGTAAGTCAAACAAAAAAATAAATTAATGCAGAATTAAATAGACATTAAAAAAGGTTCTTTTAATGATTTGGATGCTTCCCTATTATTTTACCAATGACCAGTTAGCTAATAATTAAAGTTATTATTGCTTTAGTACAAAGGCTAGGAGGAGAATGAGGTTTTTGCTACAAGATAACGATGCAAAGTTTGTTGCCTAATCTAGCCAATCCTTAATAATTTTATTATTGAAATGACCATTTTCAAATTTATTAGTCAGCGATTTGTATTTTATGGTCATTCACAAAGGAACCCACACAAGTATGTAAAATAATTATAATCCACCTCCTGATCCTTTTCAATTCTCAAAGATCTAGATATTCTCTCTATTGCCTGATCATCAACATTAATATCTACTCCATCATTCAAATTACTTGTTTCCCTTTCTTCCCTTCCTTCTTCTACTTCTTCCATTTGTTGAGATGATGATAAAAATGCTGGGGGCAGAACAGCCATAGGCGTTTGTTCTTTCGATAATTTGTTGCTTTGTTTAAGTCGTCGCCTTTGATTGTGAAGTTGCTGAGCTGTTGAAGGTGTTGATGTGTGAGCAATTGTTATTACTGAATTTATTATGATTTGGATTTTAAAATTATTTTTAAAAATATCATGGGAATTTAATTTTTAACCAAATAATCCTCAAAACTTAGCGGGTTATGAATAGTGCTTGGAATTTTTAAATTTGCTTTGAAATTTGCTCGTAATTTGCTCCAAATTTGCTCTAAACTTTCGTACAGGCCTTTTCTTACCTCGTACTCGTACCTGCCAATTTTTATCTGCTCATTTTCGTATTTCGTACACAGGTACGAGCACGATTTTAGTACTAGATTCCAAGCCTGGTTATGAAATAAGGTTGAACTTCAACTACTATTTTGAATACTTAGGGGATATTTTAGAAACATACGGATTACATGGAATTATTAATTTACGGTACAGAAAAATAACAGAAATTACGTCAATTTTTCGATTAAATAACGTGTATCTAAGCAAGTACGGTAGTGCCAAATCTTCTAAAAAGATTTATTTTATATTTTTTATTTATTAAAAGGGATTAGGCTTATTTATTATAAAATGCTTACAAAATATGAGCAAATAAAAAAGAAAAATCCTTTTCCTCAGCAAAATTATTAAAGGTAATGGTTGTAGTGGAGGTAATGAATTTAACATTATTATATACTTAATAATTTATTTTTTTTGTTGTTGTTTAATTAAAATTTAAATTAATAAAGAATTAATAAATATTCTAACATATTTTTAAAATTAAAATATTTATAGAGCTAAAAATAAAATTTTATAATCAAAGCTGCAAGAAAATGAAATTTTGCCCTCGATGAAACGAAAACGAAAAAAATAAAATCATCAATGTACGAAACGAAAACGAAACGAAAATATTTTTTAACGAAACTTGAAAAAAAAATGAAAAAAAATTATCAAACGAAAACGAAACGGAAATCAGAAAAAATCCTCGAAAATCACAAAAGACGAAACGAAAATCTTCGTGCAGCTCTGGTTATAATCAAGCAACTTTGATAATAATTAAGTTTATAGGAAAATGTGTAACAAACACAATAGCCTTTATTAAATTTAAAAGATTCATAAAAATTAGAAAAATCAACAAAAGTTTAAAAATTACTAATTGAATAAAAAAGTAAATTTTAGGTTTGTTAATTAAAATAACAAAAATTTTCATTAAAGATGTAAAAAAATAAAATCGTTAATTAATTATCTGTTCGTTGGTCTCTAAAATATACAAAAAAAATGAAGGAGAAATAGTAACTCTCTATACAAAAAAATTAAACAAGTGGACAAATGAAGAGCCCCCATACTTCTTTTTTTTGTTATTGTTCAATAAAGGGGATTACAAAAAAAAAGAAGAGAAGCGGATGTGCGCGGAAGATATTGAAAGGATAAAAAAGATGATTTTTTGTTTAAAATAAACTACTTATTTATTTAGAGAATAAATGTAGCAAAATGTTTAAAAAATATGTAGAAGTTGAGAAATATAAAATTGAAAAGTTAATTTTATAAAAAACAATTTTTGTTAAATGAAGCAAAGGAACACTTTTTTGAAGAAGCAAAACAATTATTTTTTCCCCGGCTTTGACACGAACTTTTAGATTTAATTAAGTAAAAATAAATATTTAAGTATAATTTCGGTTAAAAATCAGCTTCTAAATAAAAAATAAATAAGTAGACTTCTTTAAATAATGTTTCGGAATTTTCTACCTAATATATATATTTATTTATTTGCTAAAAATGAAAGAGAAAAAATAATATTTTTCAAAGAAATTTTTATCGAAATTATGTGTTGGGGGATTATATTAATAGAAAGTAGGGAATTATATATAAAAAGGGGGGGATTTGAATGGAAAGAGGGGGATTGGGATATAAACTAAAAAGGAAAAAACTAAAAAAACTTTTAAAAAATATTAGCACATTAGTTTATTAACTAAGAATATTTAGTTTTTTTTGTTTAATAATAAAAAATTGTTGAGTTTTCAAGTACCTAATGACAAAAAGTTTCTTTTTTTTTTGCGCACTTAAGACAAACAGTTAATCGTCTTTTGTTTGTTACTCTACAACAATGGTCAATAGAGGAGAAAGAAAATAACAAAGAGAAATCAATCGGTTAATTTTTTTCGGAAAATATTTATTTTATTATTAGTGGATTACTAAAAAAATTTAAAAAAAAAGAAATTAAATAAAAAATTAAAAATAATTTTCTAAGAGTTACAAAATGACAAAAAAACCATTGATAAAATTAAAGAATATCAAATTAAATTAAAATTAAAGAAAAAATATTTTTAGCAAAAATTCAATGCTTAATTTAATTAAATAAACTTGGATTGCACTATTATACTAAAACAAAAATCTCCAGCTAATTAAATAAAAACGAAAAAATATTTTAAAATTTTTTATAAAATAAAAACAATTGTTTGAGATAAGAAAAACTGGACAATTAAATAAAAATAAAGAAAAGTCCATTCATTCATTGATACTTCTTTTCTTTACTTTCTCCATTATTTAATGGATTAATTGAGAAAGTATATATTTATATTTAACCAACCAGCCGCAAATAAATACACACACAATTAAATAGAAAAATAAGCAATTCAATTTCTAAAAACACACACTTGTTTAGTCATTCAAAAGGTGAGAAAAAGTGAAAAAGGGGAGGGGGAATTAAATTAAAATTAAAAGAATAAAACAGATATAAATTAAATTAGACCAATTTTCGGATTTTAAATTTTTTTTTAGTCCGGGCCGGATTTTTCGAATAAAAAATTCCGGAAAATAGGGATTTCTTATACTAATTTTTGGACCAGATCTACTTGTTTAATAGTATTATAGTGAACTAAAAAATGTTAAAGAATCTAGATTCAACCATCCAAAATTCAATATTGTAATAATCTAGACAAGAATCCATCTTAATAATTTAAGAAAAATAGATTGACCTATGTATTTAATTATAAAATAAATTAAAAATTTATAATTTTATTAAAATATATACGTACATAGTTACAATAAAAACATTTTTGTTCTAATTTACATTTAAATCAAAATTATAAAATGTTTTTGAAAATAAAAAGAAGAAAATCTGGTAGGAAAATGACAGCTGGCTATTATTTATATATAAATTACACATTAACTATACTAAGTTAATACTTTTTGTTTACAAATTTTCATTCTTAAAAAGTGAATTTTTATTAAAGCGAAAATTTTTTAATGTTAACTTAGAGAAAAATAAACAAAAGACTTTAAAAATAAAAGAGAAAAATAAAGAGAATAAAATTCTCTAACACAGCCGCGTAAATGTTCTCTTAGCACTTTTTCACAAAGAAAGTTGTTTTTCTCCAATTTTTGCTTGAAATTTAACTGTAAACAATAAACAACCAGCCGTCCGCCATTTAATCGCAGCATTACCGGCCGTGTGCCATATAATCGCACACACTTATTTTTGTAAATAAAACGCAGCCATTATATCGCAACTATGAAACTTTAATAGAGCACCTTTTAAGTTAGCACAATTTCCAGACCCAAATACAGTGGATTTAAGGGGAGAAAAAAGATAAATAGCTGGCGACTTGGGTAGTAAGCGGCGGTTGTTAAACAGTTATAGATTTATTATCGCAAAATTATTTTTCAATAATTCATTTTTTACAAACTATTTATCTTTATTAAACCATGTTAAATAGTTTTATCAGTAAACACCGAAAGTTTGACCTCTCCGCATTTTTATGGTTTTGTGATAATTTAAATTTGTTAGGAATTAGAACAAAAGTTAAGTTCTTGAACAAAAGCGGACCGGTTTTGTGTTCTTTTCTATTTTCAAAAAAACTGTATTTTAAGAAATACAAATTTTTTGAAAAGAAAAAACAAAAATTTTACAAACTGTCAGATTTTGGATTTACAGATAGCTTTTGAATCTCCTTAATCTCAAGAAAATGATTAATTAAATTTTTATGAACGCGCAGAAATTTTCGTTTTATTGTCTGCTTTTGTTCTGTTTTTGAGAAGTTTTTTGAGAAGTTTTTTCTGATGTTTGTTTGTTTTAATTTGTTTTTACCTTTTAATTTTGTTCTGATTTTAATTGTTTACCATATTTCTACCGTATTTAGTTTAGGATAATGTTATTGCCAATTCTATTAAAGATTCGATTTTGTTTCAAAAAGGTATCTACAGAAATCATCAGATATTAAGGCATTCACATAAATCTGTTTTTGCGAAAAACAAAATTAGGAGGGGATTTTGAGGGGAAAAAGGGAGAAGTGAGAGCAAGTAAAAGGAAAAACTCAAAATGGAAAACAAGATAAAAGAGGATTAGCAAAAACAACAGGGGATTTCTTGGCAAAATAGAGATAGCAAGAAATTTGTATATAATCAGATAGAACAAGGGTGTTGTAGGTTAATAGGGAACACAAGAGTTCCGAAGGAATAAACAGAACGGCATTAATATAGGGTGTAACGGAGAGATTTCTATGTATAAACAGAAAGATCAAGGAATTCGTTGATACTAAGGGCTAACAACGTATTCGGGGATTAAAAGGGATCACAAGAGATTCAAGCAACTAAGAGGAAGATCAAGATATTGGGGGTACAAGGTAGAAACCAAATGTCGAGGTAGAAACCAAATGTCACTCCCAGCCGCCGAAAAACCTTTTCGCTAGCAAAAAAGAGAAATAGCTATAGTCCAGCAGCTTTTCTAAAATATTAAATTACGAAGTAAGGAAAGTAGTTTTTGAGTTTGTACAGAAACAAATTACATCAAATATTTGGTCAAATTTGGATATATGCTTCTTAATTTTTGATACCCGTTCAACCCCATGCAAACGTTTTTGATCCCTACAAATCGTCTTTTATCCTAATTTAAGAGTTAAGAAAAATATCTGTTGTTTTGGAGGGAAACGGGAAAAATGCAAAACACAGGCGAATCAAATGTCTATCATTTTCTTGCAACCTTTTCAACCAAGAATCACAGAATAACAACGAGTGCCATATCGTTTTTGTGTTATAAAATTTCCGGGCATATTGATATCGTGGATATTTAGGGATTTGGAGTGAATAATAGGACTTATAGAGAAAACAAAAGATAACGAAGGATATCAGGGGATTCTTCCTAATATATCCATAAAGCCTTCTTGATCTTATTAAACTATAAAGGCAGAGTAAAACTATCAAGGCAGATAAAACTACCAAGACAGCAAGCATATTAAATGTCTTGATCAAAGAAAAAAGGGATGGATAAATAAAATTAGACAATAAAATCCACAAATCCAAACAACTAGAGAGGCGAATTTTGGATAAAAAATTCAATAGTACAAATGATAGCTCATTTAAAAGAGCTCGACGGGTTGAGTTAAATGACATCAAAATCAGCACGATAAGATGATTCTGAACAAAATTATGAACAACTTAACATTCCTTTAATAAAAGTTTTTGTGTTGCTACTGAGGGTAGGTCGGCATTCAAAGCTGAGAATAGGTAAAAAGAAATAGGATTAAGTTACGAGCCCAGAACCCAGCGACCGTAGACTCCCTGCGAGGCGCGTGCCGCAAAACCCTGCGCGAAGCGCGGGGTTTTGCACAAGCGCCTCGCCGACGCCCATAAGTACACGTTGACCATTTTGAGCCTCTTTATCTTGGCTCAGAATTAAGATCTCGAGCTGA